TCCTCGCCCGCGTAGAGGTACTGGTCGAGAAAGTCCTGCAGGAGCAGGTAGGCGATGCGCTGCTTGTCCGGCATCTTCGGCCGCGACCCCGCCGCGTCGCTGAGCGTGGACCACGTGTGGGCGAGGTGGGGGCAGACGGACTTGACGGCCGGGTCCGTGTCGACGTAGACCGTCGAGATGACGCGGATCATGGACGCCTTGAGGTCGTTGGGCAGCGTCGGGTCCATGACGATGGCGATGCACGTCGGGAAGGGCAGCTGCTCTTTGACGATGCCGATGGACAGGTAGTTGCGGTCGAGGCACAGCTCCGCCGCGAGGTAGAGCTGCGACATGAAGTACGACGCGATCGTCGCCTTCTTCTCGTCGGGCAGGCCCGGCGCGAAGATGTCGCCGACGGCGATCTTGTTGGCGCCGCAGACGGCCTGGGGCCTTAGGTCGTCGTGGACCGTGTCCCAGGTGAGGTAGAGCGCCGGCAGCGGGCGGCTCAGCAGCTCGGACCCGCGGACGCTCGCGAGCAGCTCCGGCGGCGGCATGCCGAAGCCCGTGCCCGACTCGAGCGTCCACGTCGCGCGGTACGCCGACTCGCCCTCGGCCTGGAGGGCCACGTGGAGGTCCGTCGCGTCCTGGAGCCAGAGCTCGGCGACGCGGCACTGGTTGCAGTCGACGCCCCGCCCCGCGCACGAGCACAGCGCCATCAGGAGGTCGAGGTAGAGCGACTGCATGCGACTCTCCTGGACCATCTTCACGATGAAGCCCGTCTCCTCCTCGGAGACCTTGGTCTCCTGCAAACTCAGGTTCGTGTTGAGCATGTGGACGAGGCACGCGATCGCGATGGGCTCCGAGGGCACGTAGCTCAGGAAGACCTGCATGTGGTCCGCGACGGCCATCTGGATCGGCGGGTTCTCGCGCGTCGCTAATAATAAAATCCAGAAGACGCGCGTGCCGACGCCGTTCTGGAGCCGCTCCATCTCCTCGAGGGCCGTGCGGCCGTGGTGCGTGACGACGCTGCTCTTCCGTCGTTTCCCGTGGACGTTCGCGGACGACCGCCGGCGCTCGCGGGGCTTCCCGGCGAGGCCCCCGGAGCCCTGCTGCTGGAGCTGGTGCGTCGTCTTGCGGGCGACGGCGCTCACGTTCCTCCCGTGCTTTTTCAGCGCCGCCTGCTCCACGAGGACGTCGATGCGCTTCAATACGTCGATGAGCACGTCGAGCACGCCCTGCTCGCAGAGCAGCGTCTGCCGGTTCTTCGGCAGGTCCCGGAGCTCCGAGGGCACGAGCTCGTCGTAGCAGGGGTCCTCGCTCAAAGGCTTCTGCAACAGAAAGTCCGCGAGCTGGTCCACCTGCGCGCGCGTCAAACATCAACATTCTCTGAGCTCGGTCGCATCGACGTCGATTCGGCTGATCGTTGGACGAGTCGAGTGCTCTCGGCGAGTTCTCGAAGCACAGGAGACGTGATCGTGTCGAAACCGTCGAACGAGAACCCATTGAAGTCGGCGTCCCGCGCGGCGGCGCGCGGTGTCCATGAACGCGGGCTCCGCGATGTGGAGCTTCGCCGCAAAGTCCGGCGCGTCCGCGTCGTCGAGGCAGGCGAGGAAGGCCATGAGGCGCGGGTAGGCCGCGACGCCCACGAGGATGTCCGACTTGGCGTCGGTCTGCACGAAGCGCTCGAAGAGGAGCGACACCGCGCCGCCGCGGTTCGCGGATCCCAGACACGCGACGTCGCTGCTGCCGAGCGTCGCCGCGGGGCCGACGATCATCCAGCGGCCCTGGCACTGGATCTGCACGGGCGCGCCGTCCGTCACCGTCGCCACGGTCTGGGGCCCCGCGCTGCTCTTCTTGTAGCCCAGGTTCGGCGCCTGGAGCGTCAGCGAGCACAGCGGCGTGAGGCCGCCCGAGATCGCGCAGTATTTGTAGTCCGGCCCGCCCTCGCCGCTGCTCGGCTGCCCCGCCCCGAACTTGGACATGGCCGCGGCGAGGCGCGCGCCCTTCTGCCACAGGTCCTCCGCGCGCACCGCGAGGTACTTGCCGCTGTTGAGGTGGCGGAGCCGGAAGGACCGCGTCTCGCCGTAGGTCACCGCGCCGCCGACCGCGGGCCGGAAGAAGCCCTCGACGACCCAGAGCGCCGACGAGTCGATGTGCTCCTCTTCTTCCACGGCGTCGGCGAGGGGCGTCAGCACGCAGTCGCTCCGCGTGCCGTGCGCGCCCGCGGAGACCAAGCGGACCTGCGCGTTCATCTCCGGGTCCACGACGCGGATGATGTCGCCGCAGAAGAGGCGCGCGTCCTCGTCGTGCGACTCGCTGTAGATCACGGCCTTCCAGCCCGTCGTCTCCAGCGAGCAGTTGACCTCGCGCGTCGGGTTCTCGGGCGACGAGAGCCGCGTCGGCAGCTCGCAGCAGTGGATCTGCTCCGACGTGCGCTCCGTGACCCGCAGCAGGAGCGAAGATCCCGAGTTGAAGTCGTCGCCCTCGCGGTCGATCTTGTAGCAGGGCATGACCGTGAACCAGGACAGCGAGCTGCCGAACTCCGAGAGGTGCACCCGCAGGTTCTCGCGCTCCTGCTCCGCGACCTGGTTCGGCTCCACCGTGAGATATTTCTGCGACTTCACGTGGAGCAGCTGGATGACGGACCCGTACTGGATCGTGTTGCCGACGCTCGACTTCATGTACTGCTCGTTGAGCGCCTTCTCGTTCTTCATGGACCGTTCGAGCGAGTCGACGAGCTTGCCGAGCTTCGCGGCGTCGCTCTCCTCGCCGTTCTCGTCCTCGGACCCGTAGATGGACAGCTCGTCGCCGTCGTTGATCTCCGAGTCCTCGATCTGGTGGAGCTCCTCGAGGTAGTGGATGTTCTCCTCGTACTCGCGCAGCGCGCTGTACTGGTTCTGGATGCATATTTGAAAAACGCACTCGTCGAAGCGCATGGGCTGCTCGGCGACGACGCAGTTGTCGTCGAGCACGCCCTCGGCGCCGAGGAAGCCCCGCTTCGTCGCCTTGCCCGTCGGGATGTTCCGCAGCGTGATGAAGTCGCCGATGCGCAGCGGCTTCGTCCCGTCGTCGTCGTTGTTGTCGTCGTCGTCGTCGTCGACGTTGTCGCCGAGGCCGTCCTTGCGCTTGCTCGACTGCCGTTTCAGCTTCGCAGACTTCTTCTCGCTCATGGCTGCGTCCCGCGCCCAGACCCGGGGGGGCAGGCCGCCGGGCCCCACACCTCGGGCTGGATCACTGGAGGCGCTGGACGTCCAGCAGCGACAGCCCCGGAGAGCGGATACATGTTCATGAAAAGCTGCAAGCGACTCGATTGAAGCGACTGGTTTTACCACTCGAGGCCAAACCTCTTGCCCGCAGCGGTCGTCGTCGGCCGCGTCGCGCGCCTTGCCGCGCAGCGTTCGTCGACGGCCGCGGCGCCGCGCCGCGAACCGACCATGCAATTCACGATGAAGCGGTCCAAGCGGCCGCGGCCGCGACCGACGGCCAAGGGCTTCGCCGGCGCCGACGACGACGACGAGCCGGCGGCGGCGCCGAGCCCCGCGCCGGCGCCGCGCACGGCGGCCGAGTGCCGCGGCGCGGGCAACCTGCTCGCCGAGTCCGGCCGCTTCGGCGCGGCCCTGGCCCAGTTCGACGCGGCGCTGTCGCTCGAGCCGCGGTCGCCGGAGCTCCACGAACTCCGCGCGCAGGCCCTCCTGGCCATGGACCGCTGCTACGACGCCGCGGCGGCGGCCGACAGCGCCATCGCGCTCAGGCCGACCTGGGCCGACGCCCACCTCGCGCGCGCGCGCGCGCTGCTCAACTACGGCGAACCCGACGACGCGCTGGACAGCTTCCGGCGGGCCGCCGCGCTCGCGCCGGGCGACGACGACGTCCGCGCGGAGTGCGTCGCCGCGGAGGACATCGCGCGGCGCCGGAGCGACTCGCGGCGGCGGCTGCTAGAGGCCGCCGCCGACGACGACGACCCGGACGCCGCGGAGGTCCTCCGCTGCAAGGCGGCGCTGCGGTGCACCGTCGACGCGCCCATGGACGAGGGGTAATTATTTTTCTTTTTTGGGGGAGGGTGGGGTAAGATGACTACCAAAACTCCGGCGCTGGGCGGTTGGAAGGTCCGTAGATGCACGGCTCAGAAACTAGGCCAGCCGTCCGATCGGGTGAAATTTCATCGCACCAGGGGTCTCGTTTGCGCCAGTCATTGAAAATCGCTTCTTTGAGCTGTTTGACGAAGGCATCAGGCTCGGCTTCGATGGCTCGGCCTTGCGCTTTCCATTCCTGTGCCACCTCGCTAATCTCCGGAATAATAAAGTTGTAGTGGTACGTGCAAATCTGAGTGTTGTCGATGTTCGCGCCGCGGATCAGCAGCTCCACCATGACGTCGACCCGGCCCCAGCCCCTGCACATGCAGGCGTACTCGAGCGGCGGGATCCCAGACTGGCCGGCGATTCGACCAACCTTCTCGATGTCCGCGCCGCCGTCGAGGAGCAGATGGATCATCCGTATGTCGCCCCTGGACACGCTGGCCAGAAGCGGCGTGGCGCTCCGAGCGTCCGCGCGCTGGTCGGGGTCCACGCCCTCGTCGATGAGACGCTGCGCCTCGTCGTGAAGTCCCTCCCGGGCCGCGGCGACCAGCGGCGCGTCGGGGTCGAAAACCTCGTCGGTGTACCACCATACGTCCCCGACCTCGACGAGCTTGCCGAGGCACGACCCCAGCCGGGCCAGGAGCACGATGGACAGCGTCAGGGGCGTCGAGCGCATGATTTTCAGGCTGAACTCGACGCGCGGGGCGGGGGCTCGGGGGCGTGAAGGGGGCCTTGAGACACGGGAAGAGGCCGATGAGAAGCGCGCTTGCCGAGCTTCAGAAGCCGAGTGGGTGCCTTCAACGCGGACCTCGAGCTCGCCGCAACTCCGCCGAGGCAGCTCGCGAGCACGCAGCCGAGACCATGGCGCCGCGCAAGGGCGCCAAGAACCTCCCGAGCGCGGGCCTCACGGCCGGCGGGGCGAGCCAGCAGCAGTCCCTGAGCTCGCTCAAGCGCGTGGACCCGGAGATCACGGAGATCCTCGCGTCGGCGACGCACGCGACGCTCTACAACTTCGCGAGCGAGGAGTGGGAGCGCGGCGACGTCGAGGGCCCGCTCTTCATCGCGAAGCGGCGGTCGCAGCCGCGCTACCGCCTCGTCGTGCTCAACCGCCTGTCCATGAGCAACCTCGTGGAAGACGTCGACGCGGGCTTCGAGATCGAGGTCGTCGATCGCTACCTCATCTTCCGGCGCGCGGACGACCAGGCGCGCATCCGCGGCCTCTGGTTCCACTCGCTCGAGGAGCACGCGGCCATCGGCGCGCTGCTCGAGAAGGTCCAGGCCGACGCCGCGCGCGAGGCCGCCGCGCCTCCGCCGCCGCCGCCGCCGCCCGCGGCGAGCCACTACGAGGGCGCCGCCCAGCTGCTCACGGGCCTGGCCATCGGCGGCGCGGGCGGCACGCCGTCGCGCGGCGGCGGCGCCTCGCCGGGCCTCCTCTCGCCCGCGCTCTTCTCGCCGTCGTCCGTCGCGCCGGCGCCGGCGCCGAGCCTCGACCTCGAGACGTTCAAGGGCGTGTTGCGGGACCTCGTCGAGGACGACGCCTTCATCACCGAGCTCCACATCCGGTACCAGGACAAGCTGCGCTCCTGAGGAGAGGAGCGTCGCCCCCCGCCGCTCGCTACCCGGTAAGCGCGGCTTACAGGTCGACCTTGGACGCGGTCCAGTCCGCGAGGCCCCGGCGGAGGTCGCCGAGGAGGAGCTCCGTGCGGTCCTCGGGGCCGATCTTCGCGCCCGCGGTCTCGTCGCCGACGGCCGCGGCGACGGCGGCCGTCGTCGGCGAGTCGACGAGCGGCGCGGACAGCACGCCGAGCGTGAGCGCGCCCGTGAGCGTCGCGTAGTTGAGGAGCCTGGGGTTCAACACGACGCCAATATAAAAGTATTCGCACGATTTCGACATCGTTGCTCTACGGTCTGAAACGAACTCGCCGAGAGAGAACGATCCATCCAAACATCAGCCGAAACGACTTCGATGCGACCGAGCTCGAGAGGTGTGAAGTTTCGCTGGACGGGGCCATCGTTTCCCGCGCGGTGAGGCGCGTGTCGAGGTCGTGGCCGCAGGAGCTCAACGCCTTGATGAGGGGCTCGAGCGACTCGACGCGCGCGAGGAGCGCGTCGCTGCCCCAGGCCGTGAGGCCCGCCTTGGGCAGCCCCGCCGCGCCTGTGTGGAAATCAACCGGTGGAACGCCCCGTCCGGCAAAAACTTCAAACTATCTCGATACAATCGAAGTCGATTCGGCTGATTTTTGGACGAATCGATTGCTCTCGTCGAGTTCTCGAAACACGGCCGAAGATCAAAACGGTCGCATACGCGCACGTTGACGTCGGGTTGAAGATTTGAGTTCCGCGCGGCGCCGCGCAGGACCCGTAGAGCGCGGCGCGGAACGCGACGGCGGGGAGGTGGTGCGCCCAGTCCTCGTTGTAGACGGAGATGCGGTCCGGGGCGAGGTCGAGGCGCACGTAGTCCCAGGGCACGGACCGGATCTGCTCGAGCTCCTTCTCCAGCGTCGCCTCCCAGTCGTCGGGGAGCGCGACCGTGTCCCGCAGGATCATGACGACGCCGTCCCGTTCGAGCGCGGCCTCGATCTCCTCCTCCTGGCCGTGGTGCCGCGGGCCCTCGGCCATCTCCGCGAGGGTCCCGACGGCCCGGCTCGCGGCGGGGCCCCCGCGCGGGAACTCGCGCTTCGCGGCGTGCAGCGCCTTGACCTGCGTGGAACTCAAATCTTCAACCCGACTTCAATGTGCGCGCATTCGAAAGGTTCGACACAAGTTCGGCTCTGCTTCGAGAACTCGACGAGAGCGATCGATTCGTCCAAGAATCAGCCGAATCGACTTCGATTTGGCCGAGCTAGAGAATTTCAAAGTTTGGTTGGGACGTCCCAAACCAGCGGTTGATTTCCACACAGGCCTTGACGAAGGACGCCCAGGCGGCGACGCGCGCGTAGCAGCCCGCGTGGCTCGCCGCGGACGCGAAGGCCAGGGCCGGGTCCGGGACGCAGGCGAAGGCGTCGTCCGCGAGCGCGTTGTAGACGGAGTCGGCGCTCCGGCCCTCGGCGCTCGCCCGGTCGACGCAGCACGCGGCCGGGTTCGGCGTCGCCGCGCACTCGTAGGCGTCGCAGCTCCGGTGCGACGCGATGAAGGCGCCGATCTCCGACGGCGGCGCGAGGTCGGCGGCGGTCGTCGCCTCGAGCGCGCCGACGCGCTCGTGGCCGCGCGACGCGCCGCCCGGAGAACCGCCGAGCATGGCCTCCATGGACCGCCGCCGCTCGACGTCGCCGGCGGCGTTGACGTAGTAGACCTTGAGGAGCTCCGCCTTCGGGTAGAGCGTCGGCGCGTAGTCGCTCCCGGACCCGCGCGCCGCCCCGCGGAGCCAGGGCACGTAGGACGCCGTGGCCACGCAGTAGATCGTCATGGCCACGGCGGACGCGAGGCAGCAGTAGAGCACGGCGTTCGACTCCTTCTGCCGGGTCTGCTTCTCCGCGTCGTGGTCCCCCTCGTCCATGACCCGGTACGGGTCGATGAAGCCCCGGGCCATCGTCGCAAAGCCTGTTGTTTTTTATTGGGCTGCCCAAAGTTGGATTCTTGCATGGATTGTTGAACCAGCACCAGTTGGGCTGCATGATGTGATCGTGCTGATCGTCGTGGTCCTGATCGCGGGCCTCGTCGCGGTGGCCTACCACGTCGCCGTCGAGCAGCCCACCACGAGCGCCGCGACCTAGGCAAACCGCGTCATGGCCGAGCTCTCGGCCGCCGCGCAGGTGCGCGCCATGATGCTGCCGACGGTGATCCCCGAGAAGCCGCGCGAGTGGGAGACCTTTAAAGACCCGGAGACGGGCTGCGACTACCACCTGAACGTGGCGACGGGCGAGAGCAAGTGGGCCGGCTCCGCGGCGGACCAGGTGCGGTCCCAGCTCCACGCGCCGGCCGACGCGGCGCGCGGCGCCGACGACGACGACGATTCGGCGCCGCTCCGCCTCGAGCTCGTGCAGCCGCGCGTCCGCGCGTCCGACGTCGAGCGCTGCGACGTCTTCGACGACGAGGACGACGAGCTCAGCGCGGCCGCCGAGGAGGCCGCCGTCGCGCGCGAGTGGCGGGACCGGGGCATGCTGCGGACGGTGCGGCGGCGGCCGCGCGCGCGCATGAGCTGCGGCGAGCGGTGCTGCGACCGCGCGCTCATGTGCCTCGAAGCGACGGCCTGCGAGCAGCCCCTCGCGCTCCTCGAGGCGCTGGGCCGCGGGCCCTTCTACGCGCTCGGGGGGCTGCTGCTCCACGTCCTCGCGGTGCTGGTCTGCGCGTCGCGGGGCTGCGACTGCGTCGCCGGGGCCAAGGTCGCGCGGAAGGCCAACGCCTTCTTCCGCGAGGGCGCGCTCTTTTTCTTTTCGGCGCTGTCGCTGGCGGTGCCCGGCGCCGCGCTCTTCGTCTACCGCGACGCGCCCCTCGACGACGCGGATTGGGACGTGCGCCCGCTGCCGACGCTCGTCGGGTCCGTGGACCCGCGGCGCTTCTGGGCCTTTTACCTCGGCCGCTGCTCGCTGGCGAACAACGGCTACTACGACCCGCTCCTCGGGTCCCTCGACTGGCCCTGGGCCGGCGCCGTGCTCCACCCGCCGACGCACGACCAGGACGACGGGCTGCTGGTCCCGCCGGGCTCGCCGACGCTGACCTAAGCTTCACCTTACGCGCTTCTCGAACTCGCCGAGGACGAACTCCGTGAGCTGCTCCTTGGAGATGTACATGAGCGTGTTCGAGAGGACCGTGTGGAGGAGCTTGATGCTGAGGCCGTCGAAGACCGTGCCGCGCTTCGCCGGGCGGTGCCCGTGGGACACGTCCGTCGCCTGGAGCCGGCTCCGGTACCACTGGAGCGGGTGCGTGACGACCGCGGCCGCGAGCGTCGCCGCGGCCGCCGCGGCCGCGATGAGCGACGGCCCCGCGGACGCCTCCGTGGCGCCGAGGCCGCGCAGCAGCCCGTCGTAGGCCATCTGGCGCAGCGCGGGGAAGAGGATGAGCACCAGATTCGGCGCGAGCCCCGCGCAGAACCAGGCCGGCCGCCGCGCGCGCTCGCCGCCGTCCGGCGTCGCGGGCAACCCCCCCTGGAGCCGCGTCACGACGACCCAGAACGGGTTCGTGGCGACGACGTTGCAGAGGCCCGCGAGGGCCGTCGCCAGGAACGTCTCCGCGGCGCCCGGCGCGCCGCGCCGCTCCTCGAGGAGCGCCGCGAAGAAGGCCTGCGCGGCCCAGAAGACCGTACCGGACGCGTAGACCGCGCACGCGGCGACGTTGACGCCCCGGTAGAGGCCGCAGCCGTCGCCGAAACCCAGCGGCTCGCCGAGCATGGCCCGCGTCTGCAGCGTCGACAGCGGGTAGGTCGCGACGAAGGACGACACCATGGACAGGCCGCCGAGGAAACCCGCGACGGCGGGCGACGCGCCGCCCGGAGGTGGAGTCGCCTCGTCGCAGCGCGGCGGCGGGCCGTCGACGACGACGCGGCCCTCGCGTCCGCGCGGCGACGCGGCGCCGCGCAGGGAGCGCAGGAAGACGTCGACGTCGACGGCGTCGCCGAGGTTTCTTCTTTCTACTCCTCCCAGGACGGCGCCGAAGCCGTCGCCGCCGTCCGCGAGCCACTCCGTGACGACGACGTCGACGGGTCCCGCCGGCCGCCGGAAGCAGCCCGGCGGCACCGTCAGCGCGTCGTCGTCGAGCACGAGGGGTCCATCGTTGTTCCGGGCGGCTTCGCAGCCCCGGTCGGCGACGAGGACCGACGCGGAGCGCCCGTCGACGACGACGCGCGCGCGCGACGACGCCTGGAGGAACGCGCCGCCCGTGCCGCGCGGCGCCCGGCTCGCTGCGCCGTGGGCCGCGAAGGCGTCGAGGCGCGACGCGTTCTCGAAGGTGAGGACCGCGTAGCGGTTCGCCCAGGGAAGCACGCGCGTCGCCGCGTCGCGGCCGACGGGCCCCGCTTCCAGGCGGCCCCGCACGGACCCGCTCTCGAGGAGCGCGATGACCGGGCCCTTCGTCGTCTCGCAGCCGAGGCGCTCCATGGCGTCGGCGACGAGCGACCCGAGCGCGCACTCGCCGGATCGGCACGGCAGCGCGTCCGCGGCGCCGCGCGCGTCCCGCCAGCTCTCCGTCGACGGCTCCCCGAGCTCCGCGTCGACGAGCGCCGCAAAGTCCGCGAAGGCCGGGGTCGTCTCCGGCGGCGCGAAGTCGGGCTCCAGGGGCACGAGCGTGACCCTGGCGGCGTCGACGCGGACGCCGCCGGCGCGGCGGCCGAGCGCGAGGACCAGCACGCCGAGGTGGCTCCCGGAGACGCCGGCTTGGGCGACGACGGGCGCGCGCCGCCCGGCGACGCCGCGGACGAGGTGCGTGTGGCCGCCGAGGATCGCGTCTATTCGGCTCGCCCTCTCCCTCGCTCTCGCGAAAAGCCTCAAATCGAAGTCGTAGCCGCAGTGGCCCAGGGCGATCACGACGTCCGCGCCGCGGAACCGCAGGTCCCGCGCGTCGTCGAGCGCCGCGGCCGCCGTCGCGTCGTCGCAGGCGCGGCCCCCCGGAAGCGTCGCCGTGTCCGTGTAGCCCAAAAAACCGACGCGGACGTCGCCCGCGCGGCGCAGCCGCGTGCAGCGCACGTGGTCGTAGGTCCGGCACGCGCTGGCCGACACGAAGGGCGCCCGCGCCGCCGCCGACAGGTTGCCGAGCTCGGCCGCGAACTCGAGGTCGTGGTTGCCGACGCCTAAAGCCGCGTAGCCGAGGCCGCGCATCGCGCGGCCCATGCCCGCGGGGCCCGCCCGCCGGAAGTAGGCCGTGCCGACGCAGGCGTCGCCGCTGTCGACGACGAGGGCCGGCGCCGGCAGGCTTCGCGCCAGCCAGAAGGCGTGCTTCAGCGCGCCGATCTCGCCGTGCAGGTCCGTCGTGAAGGCGACGCTGAGCTCCGCGCGCGTCCAGTTGCCGCGCGAGTGGTTCCGGTGATGCCGGTCGTCGCCGGCGGCGAGCGCCGCGACGAGCAGGAGCGCGCGCATCAGCGCGTTCGGTCGCGGAGCGCTGTGGCATCAACAGATCATCAACGCGTTGCGGGCTGCGAGATGGCTGCGCGCTCATCGATGCATCATCGTGCTGGTCGAACGGCGACGGCGCGCGCACGGCGACGCTCGTCGCGTTCCAGCGGCCGGAGCGGGCGGGCCGGCTCCCGCGCGCCGCGCGCGCCGGCGACGCGGTCCGCTGCCGCCGCGTCGTCCGCGAGCCGCCCGCGCGAGGCGACGCCGCGACGCACGTCCGGCTCCGCAGCGTCGCCTGGAGCGCCTTCGCCGTGCTCCGGCGCGCGCGCGACGCGGCGCCCGGGGACGGCTTCGACGAGGCCCACGGCGACCTCCGGCTCCACCGCTGCGGCGCCGTGCGGATGACGGCGCCGACGTCGCGCCAGCTCGCGGCCGCGCGCGGCCTCCTCGGCGCGGCGCCCCGCGGCGCGGCCGCGCCCGGGGCCCCGCCGCCGGCGCTCGCCGACGCGCGGGGCCTCGCGCCCGGCGCCGCGGCAGCCGTGCG